GTGACTGGGGTGAGAGCCACAGGGCAGATGGAAAGGGTCGGAGGCAGCTGGGCCAGGAAGCACTCCTAGCTGGCAAGGAAACGGGGTTGCCTATGGGGAGGACTGTGGGACCAGGAGCAGTCCTTTGGCACAGCCCTGGAGAAGCGGGTGCTGCTTGCCCTTCATGTAGTCTTGGCAAATTTCTTGAATCAAACCTCACACAGATGGTGAGATTGCACGCTGCTGCTTCTCAGCCTGCCAAAATTTAGACTTTGGGTCTAATTTCCATAAGTACTCAGTGCTCACCTGCAGCTGCCATCAGTGGGAGGTGTGATTTGGTTACAAGAACTGCTGCATAATGCTGGGAACCCTGCAAATTCAGAGCCCAGCACTGGGAAAGGGGCACACCTGGACCCTCATCTCACTCACTTCTGTCCTTCACGCACAAAATGGAAATTAAAAAAAAAATCCTCACAGCAGTGCTATAGTAGCAAATGAATTAGCAGTTAAGAGGCACACAAGTGCTGTGCAGATGAACTCCCCGGAAAAGCTCAGGAGGGAATTAACAAAGGCTGTCTTCAGAGGAGGGCTTGAATAATAGGCAGGAAACGTGTCACACTGAACTTCTAGAAGAAAGCACAATAAATCAGCACTTACCAGCTTGGCAATGTCTGCCCTGAGCACTGAGTGAGGAAGGGGCCCTCTGGGTCAGCACAGTGTATGCTACTGGGGCAGGGCCACAGTAAGAGGTTGCATCGTCCCCATACATGCGGCTGAACGTCTGCTGCTCCCACCTTCTGGATTTTTCTCTTGTAGCACTGCTTGAGTTTCCAGCCTAAAAATGCCTCAGCAAGGCTGCTGTCATTTTGCAGGGACACAAAACTTGTGATGTAGGATCTGGGAACTGCTTTTGCTGTATGACATGGGGCTGGAAGGTAGGATGAGTGGCAGTGGCCTGAAGTTGCGCCAGGTTGGATATTAGGAAAAAAATCTTTGAGAATTGGAACAGACTGCCCAGGAAAGTGGTGAAGACTCCGTCCTTGGAGGTGTTCAGGATTGGTATAGATGTGGTACTGAGGGACATGGGTTAGTGTACTTGGTGGGGATGGGTTGGCCTTTGAACTAGATGATCTTAGAGGTCTTTTCCAACCTTAATGATTATGTTTCTATGAGAGCAAAATTAGGCCAGGAGATTTGTACTGATTTGCCCCTTGACCCATTGTGTTGGCAGATTGCTTTGGGCCAGCTCAGCTCTGCCCCACCAGCCAAAAAAGGACTTTCTATCACTCTTAATTCATGTCAACACATCTGCATTGTTTCTGTAACAGCAAGAAAAAATAATTTTTCCCCCTAATGAAGGCAAGCCCTTGGGGTGTGTTACAAAGCATGCCCTGGGGTGCTGGGGCCTGCACCAAAAGGAGGGAGTAAGGCAGAGAGAAGTGCTTGACAATATGAAAACCCATAGGTGTGATTTTTAAAAAAGTGTTTTCTCTGCTTTTCATGTTCCGTAAAGAGAATGAATAATTGGGAGATGAGCAGCCCTGAGGTGCTGCTGAAATGGAAAGGGAATTAGTGGGAAATGAGCAGATGGGAGGTGAGAGGTAGATGAATAGAGTCGCACAATGGGATCTGATTGATCGGCTGCAGCATGTCATGCTGAGAGCTGGAAGCTTCCTGCACTTGGGGAAAAAATAGCCACCCTCCTTCCCTCTCTGCAAAAGCCTCCAAAGGAAGCACAGAACACACGGAGGGTGTCCTTGCTCCTGTGGGCTGTGGCACATCCACCTCGCTGTGATGGAAGGCACGAAATGAGGGATCAGAGAACTGAGGGTTCTCTGTCTTTAAAAGCAATCATGTGCCAATGTGCTGGCAATTATTATTAGCTCAGAGTAGGGGTTCAGTGTTTTATTTCTTATGGGAAACAAAAGCGATACCCAGCAGATGTCTGTCCCTGTGAGGTGATTCACTTCATCTGTACTCTGACAAGAGCTGTCTGAAATCAATGCATCTCAAAAACCTGCATTTGAGTTTTATTAAGGTTTTATTTTGACTGAATTTGAGCGAGTAGCATTAAAATGACCACACACACACAAAGCCATCTGCTCTCAAAGATACGGATGTACATACCAACGTGCGGTGCTGTCATTTGAAATATATGGTTGGCCTGCTGGAGAAACAGCTGGATAGTGTTGATTTTCCAGTATTCCAAATATTCTTGCTGAACAGTAAAAACACCATGAGGGCTTTGATTGACGCATTAAATGGAGCACACTCAAATGATACTTATGTCTCAGAAGTGAGACTGAGAATTCATTTCTTTTTCCATTTTCATTTTGCTCTCCCAAGCAAGGCTAACTAGACTGGGAAACTAGGCTGGGAAAGTTTATGGGCACTGACTCATCTGTTCATTCCTTCAGACTTGGCTTCCAGCCCACAGTGATCTCGTATTTTTGCAGGAGCCAGGTCTCCTGCTTGTATTGTGTTAAAGATAGGCAGAGCAGAGAGTCTGCCAGCCCAGGGACCTCATCTGTGTGATACAAGCAGTTGCCTACTTGTATTAAATTTTAACTCAACCAAATCCTCTGCACCCAAACATCTTCCAGACTGGATGTTAGGAAGATTTAGTGGAGAAAGGAGGAAAGCCAGAAGGTTTTGAATTCAGATATTTCATTTATAGGGCCAAAGCTGTGGCATGTGAGTACTGAAAGTAATACAGTGTGCGACAGTTGTGGCTATGATACATAGCAAACATTGTCTAAGAAATCATGAAAACTGTTGTACCTGATGTCAACAGATAAAAATTCATCAGAAGAGAGTGGAGATTTAGACTAGATACAAGTTTTCTACAATAGGAGTAGCGAAGCACTGGAACAGGTTGCCCAGAGAGGTGGTAGATGCTTCATCCCTGGAGATATCCAAGGTCAGGCTGGACAGGACTCTGAGCAACCTGATCTATCTGTAGGTGTCACCTAGTTCAAACCAGATAGCTTGTAAGTTTTAACATGATCTCAGCTCCAGGTGTAAAAAATGCAGTGTCCACTGGCATGAAAGGTGCAGAATAGGGAACCTTGTGCAAGGCCAGACTTGAGCCAGGCAGCCCCAGTGTGGCTGAGGACATGCAGCGGTCACAACTTAGAAGGGTTCCTCCAGCTTTCAAGTGTGAGAATCACAGGGAACTTTCATTTGCAGGGTTCAGTGATACACAAGGACATGGAGAATTTATTTCCATGAATTTCTTTATTGCAGGATAATACACCAGTGAAGGAAAAAAATGGCAATGCAGTTAAAATGGTCAGCATTACTATTAAAATAGAAACCTAGCTTGAGTACTAGCTTTAATAATACAGCCAACATAGAAAGATACTAATATTGTGTAAACTTGTCCATGCACAATGGTGCTGCTTTCTTCTGACTAAATGTGTGTTAGATACATATAGGGAGCCTGTTTTCAAAAAGTATTTGTCATGGTCTCCACAGCAAAATGTAATTCCTGGTCAGACTGGAATGCTTTATGTAACACTGGCCTATTGCAAATTATCTTTTCTCTTGGAGACCGCTTTCATAGAAGCTTCAGGCGTAAGAAAAATAATTATACAAGTTATTCACAGTCACAGTATTCATTGGTGATCAAGTGCTATAGAATGACAGGACGCAATTTATTAATGATGCTTATCAAAAGAGAAGCGATCTCTAATCTCATAAAATAGCTGATGCTTAAAGCGAGGTTACCATAATGATCAAACGGGAACTACAGGCACATCCCAAAAGTAATAAGTTATCCCTAGTTCTAAAAGCTATCCATGACAAAACTGGCTCTTTAAAATGATATTATGCCACAAGCAAATGCTCGCTCCTGCTGCCTTTGGAAAAGTTCCCGATCCAGAGAGTGATTTTGCTCTAAAACTCATTGCTGACTACAAACTGGGAGGCAGTTCTCAGCCTGAAGCAGAGAAAATGGAGGATAATGAATCTCTGCCGCATACCATCAGTTCCTCCTTCCATAGCTCAGTGGGCAAACTCAGGAACACACAGGCCACAGAAAATGAAATCCTCTTGAATTTTCCCATTAGGTTAAACCCATTCAGCTTTTGTCACTGCCAGAAATCTCCACGCTCCACTTTCTTACTCATTTGTTCTGGTTTTTTTTTCTTTTTTTTTTTCCCCCTCATTAGAAGCAATGGTTAAACTGTTTCCCACCTTGAAAACAGAAATGAATTTAAAATTAACTGTCCCTGAACAAGATTCTCCTTCAGGGGTGTAGATGAGGAGATAAATGGCAGGAGTGGGCACACCAGAAGCTCCCTTGTTGTCACATTAGTGCTGGTTTCTTCGTTGAGCTGGGCAGCTCAGGGAAGTTGTGCCCCTTAGACCTCCTCATCAGTAAAATGGGATTTATATACTTGCTGGTCTCAAGATTTGTAACGAGCATGAGCTGAGACTTACTCCAGTGAGCATGTGTGTTCTTTTATTTTATTTAGTGGTGAGGTGCCGGAACAGGCTGCCCAGAGAGGTTGTGGATGCCCTATCCCTGGATGTGTTCAAGACCAGGTTGGATGGGGCCCTGGGCAGCCTGGTCTAGCATTAAATGAGGAGGTTGGTGGCCCTGCATGTGGCAGGAGGGTTGGAGATTCATGATCCTTGAGGTCCCTTCCAACCCTGGCCATTCTGTGTTTTGTGCAAAGCAAGCAGGAGCAGAGCAATGTTGTCCAGGAGGATAAGCAGCGCCAAAAGATCCCATGGCACCTCAGACCTTCACTTTGCTGTGTGCATTCAGCATTATAGAGAGTAGCTGAGCACAAATTCTTTGACAGCATTTGAAATAATTAAGGAGTCACTTTTTATTCACACTTAAAGGATCGTGTCTCCAATTTCTTGCATAGTCTGGAGTAAACAAACTCAAAGCTATGGAAGTGAAAATGGCCAAAAGCAAAAATGATGAACCGAAGCACAGCAAAGGGATTGCAGGACAGGGAGTGTTTCTGCAGCAGCCCTTGCTGGCACGTCCCTGTTCTTCTTTTCAGGTCCCAGTCGGTGGTGGAAGCCGGCACACTGAAGCATGAAGACTTGGGGGAAAGCGAGAACACCCAGCCACTGCTGGCTCTGGACTAAACCCTACATGCTAACCGCAGACATCCAGACCCCACCCACCCAGAAACCACCGAGCACACGATACGCATTCACACACGTTTCGCTTGAGAACAAGTCCTTCATCTTTCTTGAGCGAGTAACAAGAGCCACCAGCCATCTGCCCATGCAGCCAACGCTGAACAGCTTTTCTATTGACACAGGGTGTGAAGGAAGACATAGTGGGGGTCTGTCCATATGTAAAGAATTTCGTCTTCTTTCCTTTTTGGACTTCTGGCATCAAAGAATTGGAAATGATGGGACTGCCCTCTCCTTTTAAAGAAACCAGTGTGTGTCAGTAGAAGTTTTCCTGAAGCCTCCGGTAGGGATGCTCAATTTTATAGAAGCTAAGGTTAAATGCGTATTAAAGCAAAGCATCTTTAAAGTCTGCACTGTTCAGTGTGGCTCAGAGGGCAGAAACAGCATTATATACAGTGTGTTTGAGATCTGCAGAAGGATTTTGTATTAAAAAAGTAAAAATCAGTGCCAGCATAATGCCATACAACGTGACACTTTGTGATTGCCTCATCCACATTGCTTTTAGGGGGGGTCAGTTATTTCAGTATCTAGCAAAAAGGATTCTCAACTTTTGAAACCCTTACAAAACTGTCAGCTAAGTGGAATGAGCTGCACGGGCAGCAGATACAGACAATTTGGAATGCAATTATTTAATTCTAATGATGTGTTTTTCCACAGGCGACTCGGGAACCCATTAGACGTGTGCACGTGTATGCGAGGGGGTGCCAGGGAGACCCACCGGACACATTCAGCAGTGATTAATGGTTCATTCAGATTTTTCATTTAGGTCCCAACCTCAAATAAAAGCTCTGCAGAACCATTTATCCCCCTCCCCTCCTGCAGTCAGTGTAAGGTGTAGCCAGAAGGGAATGCTGACTGCAGATGCAGGCCACGGTTAAAACAAGAAAGGAAAACTTAGAATTAATTATTCAGTATAGGCTTCTGCTAGAAGGAAATGTGGACAAACAGAAGAACTGAAATGCCAAAGATCAGTTTGTTATCTCTCTCTTTGCTCTATTCGCAAGAAGAGTCCCATCCCTTCACTGAAATGGAAATCAGATTAAAGAAATAAAAGAAAAATTGTTATCAAATTGCATGAGCAGTGACTTTATTTCCTAAAACAGTTACAACCACCATACATGCTTTTTGTCTTCAATTTAATTGCCATGCATTGACAGTTACTAGAACACGTGGTTGGCACCAACATATCAAAGATAATCACACAAACAGTACAAATATAAAATGAGATGATAACTCACGGGCTGCACAAGAGTTTTTCATACAGCTCTGGAACATCCACCGGATTCATAAGCAATGCTCTGAAAGTGGTGGCCTGGGTCAGCTGGAAATGGTCATCCCTAACAAATGGAGTAACAAAACACTGCCTTCATTCACAGCCTGTTATGCTTGCACAAGGCAGAAAAGACACCCTACAGATCCCATTAACACAACTGGGTTGTATCTGCTTGTACGTGTACAGGACAGTCTCATTCACAATAACCTTCCTCTGTAGCAGTGTGTTACTGGGGCAAGGCCTGGCCTCCACAGTGAGAGTCTTTAGGGCAGTGAATGTTCCCAGCAAAGGATTCAGAAAAAGCAGCAAACACTCTGAGGCTTGCAGGGACGTTAAACAAATGACTGAGCCCATTTACTTTTGGCTTTTTTTCCATTCCTCTATCCTATGGCATTATAACACACTACAGAAAGTTGTGACTGGACACAGCTCCCCCTTTCCCCAAAGCTCATGAAAACTCTCAGACATTTGGATTGGTCACAGCAAGCTTGCTTAAAGCATAATATAAATCAAACATACATTAAAACAACAACAACAAACCAAGGCAGACACCTACTACACTGCAGCATTAGTGAAGAAATACTTTGGTTTGCAATTTTTCTCTGTTAATACACTTATCTCCACTGCCATTGAATCTTTGTGATGGCCTACACTGCTCATTCAAGTATGTACTTACTACCTTACAAATGCCCTGTGCTGCTATTTCCCTCTGGAAGCACAGCTGAAGAATGAAACGTTTAAATTGCAATAGTGTTCAATCTGAAAAGCATTTCCATTCACTTCATCTGTCGGTATTTCCAATGTGTAAAAAGCTTTTTCAACATGAAATACTGGATGGCAAAGAGGAGTAACTAAAATAACATATTATTTATTCACTGCCTAATTTCTGTGTTTTACTATATATATATATATATTCACCATTTATGTATCTAATCCAATAAATGAATCTAACAAAAAGAGATGCTCTCAGCTCCTTGACAGGTTGGCAGAGAGCAGAATCACTTCAGTGCTGCAGCAGCTATTCACAAGAAACCTTGTCACGTTCAAGGCACTTAAGATATCAAATGGTCAATATGTCACTACACAGTTTAATGAACAGTGCCACTCAGGCACACACACATTCTAGGTAGATAACTTTGATCTATTTGCCAATTGCAATCGGTATATATAAAGCATGTGACTTCAAAGGAACAATCAGGACAGCATGTCTGCTTATAAATAGAGCTCCAAAGTTTTTACCACTTCTTTAGTGTTCACTCTGTGCTATAGAAACTAAAATGCAATAATAATAAAAGCATTCCTAAGCCACTAATTTTGGTTTAAACAGTTCTTCATTACTTCAGTACAAACTATGTCTTTATTTTACAGAATAGCAAAATAGTTTATAATTTCTACTGCTTGATAAGTGTATGGAGATACAAAGCACAGCCTGACTCAACAACTACCAGGATTACTTTTTTTCTTATTGTACTACGACTTCTTAATATAAAAAGTACATTCTTTCCAGTTTTATATAATTCTTGTAAAGCCTCCAAAAGTATTTTCTAAAGTGTGAAACTTATAAATCTTTCTCAGTTTCCATGATTATTCACAGAGAACTGTCACCTTACAGCAGATGGTACTCTGTGTTATTGCTGATATGGACAACAAATTAAAGTCTAATCACCACTACTACCTAAAGCTGACTCTTGATCAGAGAGGGCTTATCAGTGTGTGTTCTATTTATTTTTTAATAGTCAGAAAGGAAATTAAAGTGCACACCTCCAGAAATGGGTTACAACAGCTTATGGTGCAATTGTCATGCGATACATGATATTACAAGATTACTTAAGAAAATACAAAGTCTGAAAAATGTTCAATTTATGGGAATACAAGGCTGCTGCCTATATTTTTTGCCTAGCAAATATGGCAGTCATGCAGCATGTGCTATTTATACCTACAGTACTTAGGCAACATGGTGTAGTCTCTGCAGTACAAAATCATGGAACATTAAGCAAATAAGACAACTGTTCAGTGTCCTTTAAACCATGAGGCCAAAGCTCTGAAGACTCAGTAACCCTAATGTCTCCTTGCTTAGTACCTGTCTCTCACAACCCTCACTAGTGATGCCACGATTCCTGATGAGCTTGAACAGACCCGAGCATCCTAGCACACCTATCCACACCCCGCCGGCTTTGCAGGTGAGTAGATCACAGTTGGTTTCAAACATTACTGTGCAAACTCTGGTTTATTTTGTTAGTGTTCTTAGAAATTAACAGTGGAGGCTTCTGCACCTTCCATCTCCCATCAAACAGGGAGGAACCAAAAACCAGCCAACTGCTTAACATACAGGATTTCTCTCTTAAAAATAAGGCTTTTTTAACATACAGTAAACTCTGGGTAGCAAATACAGAGTATACTGTAAATTATGCTGTGATAACACTGCTTCCGGATTGTACCATACATTTCAAGAAAAGGAAAACACCACTAGGTCAATTCAACATCTTCCAAAGTCACATTACAAAATTGAAGTTTACCTGCTAAGAGAACTATTTTGTTTTAGAAGGACAACGATCTACTAAGCAGCAGAGTATGCAAGTTTCTGTTTGCATTTCTAGGAAGGCAAGAGAAGGCCGCAGGTGGAAATAAGAAATCTGTTCATATACTACCTTTGTTGTGCTACAGCACAATGTACAGTATATGCTTATAGCTAGAGATGTACTTTGTATATACATTATTTTTAAAAATAGTGGTTGACTGAAGAAGATCTGTTCATAATTATACTAAAAAAATAGTTATTCAGGTAGAAAAAACAACAAAACACACAACCCATTCACATTATCTAGAGTTGATAACAGAGGGATATGTTTTATACCTAAAGCAGTTAACATTACAACTGCGCAATGATTATCAAAGCTGATTAGATGCATGTGTCTATAAATACCATACCTGCTGCTTCCCAGAAAGAAGCCTGGGAAGTATTTCCCAGATGTATTATTGCAAATCTTGTGCCTGAATGTGGCCAGGCAGGTAGAACACATCATACAGGCATAGTAAAAACATCTGCACATTCCTCAGCTTGAAAATCCAGACCTGTATTGCTCCTTGACAGACAAGACTTGTATTCTCAGACTTGCAGCCAGAAAAACAATATGTATCAGTGCTATATCAGTATGAAACAAACATGGCTTTTCTTTTTTTTCTTTTTTTTTTCTTTGTTTCTTAAACTCAAGTCCTCTGTGATTGTAGAATGTCATTATCTCTTTTAACCCTTCCAATACTAGCATTCTTCATATGCTGTATAAATTAATCCTGCATGTTTCTATTTGCATACTCTGTCAGGTTAAAGCTCCTCTGGCTCTTCACATCAGATACAATCCCTTAAATAGCAGGAAGGGTCCGTCTCTGTTGTGCTGTTAACTCAGGGTGCCACACATCAACAATGAATATCAGACGATAACTTTCAGCATCCTGCCACACTTCGTGTTCGAAAGAGTCATCAAAAATAAGAACTTTCCCTTCTTCCCAGGTTCTGCAACACAAAAAGAACATGCTTTAGTGCAGTATTTGAAGTGCCATGACGCATGTAAGCTATACATCAGCTCTGAAGATGTTCTCCTACATATGAGAACCATTTAAACATATATTGCACAGACAGGAATTCAGTACCTAATATTAATATACTGGAGTATCAGAAATTTAACTGAAATAAACTACAGGAAGATCAGTCTAATGAAGCTTTGTTTTATTGAAAGATTGTTTTCTCTCCCTCTGCCTAGTTATGGCCACATGTGCCCACATACACGTTCAGACATTTGCAATATTTGTTATTTATTTAATTTTTATGAGTTTAGTCCAATAAGCTAGGAGTGTTCATCAAACTCGGCGGCATAATACCAATATAGTAATCTTCTCCCTCTTTTCTAATCAGATATACACTGAATGAGTAATGGAAACTGATGGAACGACGAGCAATATGGCTTGAAAATAAATTACTTTAAATCTGTTCTTTTTTTTTTTTTTCCTGAAAACCAGAACAACACAATTAGGTCCTGATTCTGCTTTATCATTTCAGTGAACATAAGTCATATCCCATAAATCCATTTAAAGCACAGAGTCTAAAGATTTTTCTTCATAGGAATGTCACAGTGATATAGCATACACTGATTCAGGTTATACTGTTAATGTTGAAACTGAAAGCATGAGGCCACATAATAAATCCCTTCTGCTTCCAAAGTACCACTAGGGCAGAGATCACTGAAGTGGACCTAAGTACTCTGGCTTACTGTTCACCACATGTAAAACCAAGTTGTAATAATGGAATCTTTCTAAGATCTGTACGTCTGTTAGGCTCAAAAAGGGAAACATGACTTACACAAACCAGCTTATTTTTAAGCACCTCCATTGTTTGAGAAATTAAGAAAATGGCCACATTTAAAAGCCACATCAAAAGCAAATAGAGATGGGAATAAACAGTGGCTTATATCCGCATTTCTTTCTGTTTTATAAGTATAGAATCACAGAACAATTTAGGCCAGAAGAAACTTTAGAAAGTCATCTGTTCCAAGCCTCTGCTGAGAGCAAGACTTACTGCAAAGTTGGATGCAGCGCTGAGGCCAGAGATATCTCAGGTTCTCATCTCGTGGAGTTTTTAACATCTACAATGATGGGCATCACCTCTCTGAACATCTTCTCAAGCGTCACATGCTCCAACTTTTTCTTGTTCATTCTCCACGGAAGTCACTTCAACTTATCAATGACTTTCTTGCACAGAAGTGTCCCAAACCAGACACAGTACTACAGATGCAGTATTTGGAGTGCAAAAGAGGGAAAAAATTGCTCCCCTCAAACTGATTCAAATGCACTTATTAATACAGTTCAGTGTGAGGTTAGCCTTCCAGCACAAGAGCACATGTTCAACATGCCTACTAGGACTCTTTGCCCTTTTCAGTAAAGCTGCTTTCTATCCAGTACCCACCCAGCCTATACTGTTATCTGTTATCAAATTGCAGGGCTTTGCCTTTGTTGAACTTCATGAAGCTTCATTTCCCCCACTTCTCCAGCCTGATGAGATCTGAATTCATAATTCTGAAGATATTTAATGCCTGGTTACCTGCAGCCTTAATATTGTAAAAATCAGCATATGAGCAGAGAACATTAGAGATAATGTCATCACACTGTCACTGCCCTTCAGATCACAGTCTTACCTACTCCACTTGGATACAAGTAGGCAGTTGTGTATTACATGGTTTACCCATCAAAAAGTTAGGCAGTGGTACAAGCAAAGCAAATTTATTTTACATTGCAGCAAGACAGAAGCATTTGTTTGACTGTTCATTGAGTCTCATCTGAAGGGATATAACAGTCAGTCAACTCAGTAACAACCAATGTTACCTCTTAAAGCCATCCTACTATGAATGCATAATCAAGTATTTCAACAAGAGAAGCAGTTTATGAACACTGATGCCCTTAAAGGAAATTAGAAACTGTGAACAGTAGTGATAAAGAAGCAAAGATCTTGTCATCAAAGATGGAAATAAATTGCTTAGCTCATTCAAATGTGCTCATTCAAATGGAAAACAATTTTCTATTAAAAAAAAAAAAAAAAAATCAGTGAAAAATGAGGTCTGGATTCCTAAGTCATCTAGGTATTTTTGAGCATTTAAGTCAACAAAAGCAAAACTTAGCTATCAACGTTTATGGGGATGTTCTGTAATGCTCCGAAGGAAAGTGGAAATTGAAATAGGATCATTTCAGTTGAAACAATAACCTAAACATATTTTAAGCAACAGTGGGCAACCAGCATAACCACTGAAAAAATCATACTGCCTTGCACACGAACACTGAAGGCCCACATAATTACCTTTTGCAGGTTTAAAGTATGATCACGTATTTTTTTCTGCTACTGAGTCAGCTATCCAATACGAAAAATGTTTTATGTCATATGGGCCTCGAGTCTCTGATTCTCTGCTACTGCACTAGAATTACATTGGTATGACTCAACTCAGTGCTGTAACGTGGTAAAGAATTGTGGGTTTTCTGTTGTTGTTTTGATTTTATGTTTATTTTTGATTAAACAAAGCCCAAACTGCGCTAAATATTCTGAAAGTGTAAGCCTAGTTAAAGACAGTAGAAACTCCAAGTACAGATGAAATAACTTCAGAGGTTACAAGCTGATCTATCATTTGCATCAATCATACTGGGATGGGCTGTTTTGCATAACAAAGAAGTCATAAAGTTGAGCTATTAGCTGTTTTTACATAGATTACAAAACCCACCACTAGTATGCAAATAAGTATTTTCCAGATGTCTTCATGGTATCAGAAACACTTCACAGTGGGACCACGGGGACAATATTACTCTGGCATGGTGCTAAGCCACTTTGGAGTAGTTTTATATCACCTGTTCAGGTCTTACGTCACCCGTTACAGGTGAGATTTTGGACTGACTTCTGCTTAAGGCTGTAATTCTGCATCTTTGTTTCAAAACACGATTACCACATCTGGCAGATGTTTGATTTCTGATAACTAGATATTATTTACCTACCATTTCTGTACACTGTACCCTAGGCTTTCCTCAAGACTTCAAAACGCCCCAGTGACCTCAAATTACTATAGCTGTGCTGAATAACAATGAGGTGCACAAGCTCCTGGTAGCAATCAAAAGATTCTCCTGCAGGTAACAGAGTAAATCACAGTGCTAGATAGAGCTGAGTTGCCTGTCCATCAAAGAATGAGCTGCATAGTAGCACTGTCCCACTAAACACACACTGGATGACATAGAGCTAATGGGTACAAAATCTTCTACATTGTGCATGTAGCAGTGGGACAGGAAGCCAAAGAAGAATGGCATCAAAGCCCTGTCAAACCTTCATACTTGTGCCAGCTCTCCTGTTTGAAACCATGGCTTCCTAATGTTCTGACCCACTAGGAGAGGAGAAAATGAAAATGCTAAAGATACGATTTCTTCCTGACGTAATTTCTTTCCACAGCATTTCACCTCTATCAGCTTCTGTGGAGAAGGGGATGTAAAAGCACTTTTTCATTGCCATTACTGGGCATACTTTAAATGAAAACCCTCTCTTCGAATGTATAGCTCTTGCCAAAATCAACTACAGTTAAGACATTCCAGCACAGGCTGTGGTCACCTCTTGAATGTGAGTTTTACATTTCAAATGAGCGAGTCGGATGCATAAAAATGAGCCTAGTTCAGAAGCCTAGATACTGAGTGGAATGCTCTGACCGCAGCAGACCAGCAACAACAGACATTTCTCCACTCTGCTCTGACACATCCTGATGTTGAGGAACCAAGGGAGGTAGTTAAGTTCATTTTCCACATCACTATCCCTTCTGTTCAGATTAAGGCAAAGAAGAGTGGTCAGCTACAATAACGGGAGGTGAGTTGTGGACACCTGCTACCTTGGAAGGGAATCAAAACCACCACTTTGTTTACACAGGCACAGAATAGCCACCTGTGATAATGCCTTTCAGTCACCGTAGATCCGAATTCACAATAATGTCCCACAGTTAAAAGAATTCATGTTTTCCTATTAATCTATCAGCCCATTAGGTATCTCTACCTTCATCCCAATATCTATCTTAAACTTGTTTTGGATACTGGATTGAAATGATGGAAACAAGCATATTTGTCACTACCTAGGCAGTATAGGTTTTATAGTTTAACAGCCTGACACAGTCAGTGTTATGTTGGCAGGAACCCTAACGCATCTATATTAACATTCTTAACAGTTGCATAATTGCATCTACAAAAATTATAAAAAATTCTTGTTGTAGTTATTTTCAGATGTTCTGGAAAAAATCTTTGCCACATATTGCAGTCATGCAAACAGGAGCGGCGCTTCATTTCATCATATCAAATATTACTGTACAGTGATACCACAAAAAGAATTCAAAGTCAACACTTTGACAAAATACTCACTATTCCAAATAAATATATCGAGATACCAAGGGTTATTCGAAGTCCACCTAATTCTGCAAGTTAAGTCTGTGAAAAGTTAATATTTTTAAACACAGGAAAATATAATGTCACATAAAAATTCAACTGGAATATTTTTTTAACTGAATTATCTTGAATTAGAATGAATGCTAGGAATAAGGTTTCTGCAGACATACAATAATATTTGGTTACAGTGGTGAAAACAGGGCAATAGCTGTTGCTCTGTAAGTAAAGAGCATAGAATTCAAAGTCAAAATTTAAGAAAATCAAACAAAAACAAAATAACAAAAACACAAATCAAACAAAAAATAGATCAGATAGAAAACTCTTTTGGCAAGTATATGAGATTGGCATTGTAAAGGTAAACACAGATTTCATGGACAAAAAAACATTTTTTCCCACACTAACCCAAAAAGAGCAGCTATGTCTCTAAAGATTCTTCTGGCATTGTTTGTTTGACAACTGACATGAATATGTTTATACCAAGAGCAAGGGTGCAAGTTGCCTGCTTAAAGAAATACACAGCACCTCCTGATCAGTAAAACATCCTTTTTTTTTTTTTTTTTTCTTTTCATTAGACACATTACCACATATCTTTTCAGGGCTGAGGATGGTAGAGGAAAATTAATAACAACAAAAACAACCAACGAACCAAAAATCCCAGACAATACCTGTTTTCCTGGGCACATCGAATTCTGCAGCCTTCTTTAGGTATCACTAAGCCCAAATGCATCCTTAGCCGACAATTGGTGGGCCCTGTGTGAGGCCAAACATGAGTTCCTGGAAGCATGACAGAATATTTGATCTGCAAGAAGAGAGAGAAGTCTTCAGCAAGGCCATTTTCACAACTATACTGCTTTGAGTTCAGGACTTCATTGCATCTCTTCCACAATGATATCACCTTCTGTTACTCTCAGCAATAATTGTGTATTCTCACATCCTGAAGGTGTTCAGTACTGTGGATGTGCATGTATATTTTTCATTTTGTTTTGGGCTGAAATGAATTATCTCCTATGTGCCAGTAGAAAAACATCCCATATCCAATGTAATACCTGCAGACACACTTAACATCTAAAAGGATGGTCTACAGGAGGCACAAGACATGCATTGGCCAGAGCGACTGGCTGGTAGTCACTCTCAGATAACAATGAGATTGTGAAGGCTACTGAAAGTCTTAGCTGAAGCAACTATGTGATGATGGAGTTCAGGATCATAGGAATAGGAAGACAGGCAAAAAGCTGGAGTACTACCCACAGCTTTGAGAGAGCAGACTGGTTTATTCAGGGATCTGCTAGGAAAAATATCAAAAGACTCAGTGCTGCATAGAAGAGCAGTCTAGGTAATTTGGTTTATTTTTAAGGATCATGTCCTCCAAGCTCAAGAACAGTCTATCCCCACAGTTAAGAAGTACGAGATACTGAAAAGCTGAAATAAAGAGAGGAAGCATACAAGAGAAAAAAGCAGGGTGAGGTTACCCCAGATGAACATACTCAGAGTGTGCAGGGATGAAAGAAAGTCAAGGCTCATCTGGTGAGACCTAGAAATTAAATTGAAGGGCATAATTAAAGATTTCAACAGGTTCATCAGCAATAAAAGGAAGTATAGGAAAAGCACAGGCCCACGGCTGAACGTGGCAGGAGATCTGATGACAAAGCCCATGGAAAAGGCTAAGGCACTAGATGCCTTTTTTGCCTCAGTCTTTAATGGTAAGATTGACCTACAGGAATCCCAGGCACCTAAGAACAGTGGAGAAGACTGGTGCAAAGACTTACACTCGTGTTAAGGAACATTGAACAAACTCAAAAAATCATTTCATAGACCCTAGCAGGTTTTAATCAGGAGTACTGAAGGAGCTGACTGATAATGTCAAAAGGCCAGCCTTAATCTCTGAAAGGCTACAGCAGGGGAGGTTCCCAGGGACCGTAAGAAAGCAAATGTTCATGTCATTAGTATGGGCAACAAGGAGGATCTGAGGAACTACAGGCCAGTCAGTTTTATCTTACAGATGGAGCAAGTAATCCTGGAAGCCATTTTCAAACACATGAAGGAAAAGGTGGTTGGGAGCAGTCAGCATGGATTTACGAAGGGGAAATCATGCTTAACCAGCTTTCTACAGTGAGATGTCTAGCTTGATGGATGAGGGGAAATTGGTAGGTATTGTTTAGCTCAACTTTTGTAAGGCTTTTGACACTGTCTGCCAATAACATCCTCATTGACAAACTGATGAAGTGGAAAATAGGTAAACTGACAGTGAAGGAGGCTGAAAACTGGCAGTTCAGACAGACTCAAGGAGCTGTGATCAAAGCACAATACCCACAGCTCACCAGAGGTAAACCCCAGGGTTCAGTATTGGGTCCAATACTGTTTATGCTTCACTGATGTCCTGGATGAAGGGAAAGAGTACATCTCTTGTCAAGGATAAAATATCAAGGAGAAAAGGCTTATACACCAGTTTTTTTCTTGCTGTCGTTCATAAGGGTTTTGACAAGTTGAGGATTGGAAGAAACACAAACCTCACGAAGTTCAACAAAGAAATGAAAAGTTCTGCACTGGAGGAAACTAACTGTATGCATCACTACAAGCTATAGAACAACTGTCTGGAAAACAACTTCACAGAAAAAAAGAACTCAGGGTACTTGTAAACAACAGCTTGAAACAACATGTTCTTGCAGCAGAGAAGGCCAAGAGCCTCCTGGGCTGCCTTTGGCATAGCCTTGCAAGCAGGTTGAGGTAGGCGATCCTTACTCTCAAGCACTCTCAGCGATGGGTCCAGTTCTGGGCTACTCACTCCAAGATAAACATAAACACATCGAGCAAGTCTAGTGAAGGGTCACAAAGATAAGCAATGGCCTCAGAAATGGAAGGGAAGGCTGAGACAGATGGAAATGCTCAGTCTGGAGAAAGGAAGGCTCAGCAGGGATATTATCATTGTGATTCTACAAGGGCCCAATGAAAAGAATGAATATTACGTGACAGTGGTGAGGAGCACCTTTTCAGTGTAGCTTTGTTAAATCCTGTTATTTTTAAGACATTCCCAACCTTCCAATTACAACAAAATAAGCATAAAGGAATGTACGCCTAATGCCTAAGCTATTCCCAACATCTGAGGTTTGATCTTACCAGAGATATCTTACAACAGCAAGCAATAAGCTCCAGTAGATGGAGTGGCTGTGGCACACACAGATGCTCCATTACACTGCCTCTGCTACAGTGAGATACATTAGCTTGTTTACCCTGTCAGATCTGAAGAAACTCAAATAACTCCACTACTGGCTATGGAGGGAAATTACTAATATCCCACAGAAATACTTCTCTAATGCTAGAAATACTTGCATTGTGGGAATTATTACTGTCATGTATGTAATTTGCCTCCACATATCTGTTTAGGTATGTCTGTGACATATATATACATAAACACACACATGTGCTGCACTCAAGAATTACATGTGTATCATCAAATATTCCTGAACTACCGACAGGTTATACTGTGGTTGAAAACTAAAACTCTGAGGAGTTTTACTGGGGTACACTGGGGTGCCAAAAACGATGAACATAGAAGTAGCTTTTTGCACTCTGGGATAGATTTGTTTTCAGTTGTGGATGCCACAGAAAGCAGTTTTCTTGGGATTTGCCACACTGATTGTAATGATTTCTTTCATCAGTTACATTCACTTCAACCAGCTTCTGTAACAAACTAATGAAACAACAGCCTTATTCACTGTCATGACACTGGCCATTCAGTGTTCTTCTGCACAAAAGCAAGTCTAATGAAGGAACTGGACACTTACACAAAAGAATCAGGATTATGCACTGTGGTTTTCAACTTCAGTATCCTTTGTTTTGCTTGCTAAAGCTTACAGGTTTAATAATTTCTTTGGAAAAAAAAATTCTGATCTACAGAATCAGTTGTTATCACTGTTGGGCCATTCAGTGGCATATGTATATTTGATCCCTAGTATAGAGATCTTCTGCATGATTTAATGAGGTTAATTTGTAGCAGAGTAATCAGCAGAGATCGAGTGCATGAAACTAATTTTGTTGACACCCAAGGACACAGCCCATGGATGCAAAGTTTCCTTCCTTTATGTGACAGTGGCACTGTTTGGCTTCTGTGAGGTGATTCTCATTCCACCTAACACAGTCAGACTGGGGTAAGTTGTGAAGGTTATCATAGCAAGAGTCTGGCTCCCTGATTTAGTTTTGTACATTCAGCTGAGAATAAGCACTGGCAAACTTGGGTTAGAAAGGATCTAGCCTGACCACCTCAAAGCAGGGTTAGCTGTGTATCACAATACATAATTAAGACTAAGTTTAGTAATTTATTGACCCACAGTAAACAACTACTTACCCAGCATTAGCTCCTTATGATCACAAGAAAAACTGGTTCAACTAAAAATTCCATGAGCAACCTTTAGCTAATATATTTTACCTTTTATTTGCTCAAGGCTTTTACAGTATTAACTTTGTTGAGTGTCTGTGGCATTGCTAAATACACCAAGTTCATGTGTCCTTCTATACACATTCCTCAGCATCACCTGCTCCCAGCCTTAGGGATCTGCAAAAATGAAGAAGTCTGCCAGGTACCTGTCCTCTTCGGCAGCCCGTAGCTTCTGGGAATCTTTCCAATAAAGCACACGTTTTTGGAACACCTTTACAAGCATTCTCATTTTTTCTTCCTAGTGAAAATAAGTGATGTAGCACTAATAAATGCAATGAACAAACAGTCCCTTGTTTTCTACTTTGCAGAACAGCAACAAAGCTGCCAGAGGGCTGACACCAAAATCAGTAAGTATTCATAATCACATTTCTCAAATTACAAAACAGAAATGCCAGCTTACATGTTGTAACGTCAGAGCAACCTGCCATTTCTTTGCTTTTAAATTATTTGAAAAGAGTAGGCTTTCTACCTATTCAAACGTGACTCTAAAAGTATGGTTATATTTTTATTAGCGATTAAGTTCATCATTGAAGTATAATTGTTAAAAAGACAAATAATGCCAACAATATTGTATCATTTCACCACCTATTTTGGTAGACCTTGGCCGTTAATATTTTATCTTACAGGACTCTTTCACATGCAGAGTCTTTTAAGAAATTCAGGTCATCCCTGTAATTAAGCTTTCCACTGCACAGTGACAAGCAGGCTTTTTAGAGCTCAGATTCTTTTGCCCATACCATTTCTGAACAACGGACCTCACCTAGTGGGCAATAAGACATTGAGGATATGTCTTCTGCTTTCCTGTCTTCCTTCAGGATGATCTCTACTATGCATTACCATGCAAAATTTTGGCAGCCCTGCCACAAAGTGAGTGTTACCCTGAATGGATTGTTACAGGAGCTTGTGGGCAATAAGAATTCATGTTCACTGTCAATGGGGTCTCAGACAGTATTCTATTAGCTCCCTTCCCCCACAGACTTAAAGAACAGGTTCAGGGATTTGAAAAAAAAAAAACAAAAACAAACAAACAAACAAAAACATTCAGGAAAAACTCCTTTTTACACTACATTAATCTGAGAAAGTGAAACTGGGGAAAGAGAAATACGAAATGTTTTACCTTGTTGCCATAAAGTAAACTGACTCCAGTCTCCTTTTTCTCGTAGATTCTCATCTTCAGGCAAGAAGAGGCTTCTTTTTTTATCCATCACTTCAAGCCCCTCATCACGAATGAGCTTCCAGTTTTTTTCTAAGGACTGTTATGAAAGCCATGTTACTGCACTGAGAACTTACTGCATTTCACTTTTTTATTTTTTTGGCTTCCATTATTAACTTTCTAATTAAAAAAGCACACACATGCACACACAAATATTCATCATTATTATCAAGTTTCCTTATACGTACCTATTTTCTTCTGTCACGCTAAGGCAGGAACAATTTTCACAGCATTCTTATTCAGATTGAATTATACTAGTATTAACAACTTCAATGCAATTTCAATTGCAGAGAAGGCCTGACTTTACCTGCTCTGGTTAGCCGAAGGGCACTTTAACAGATGACTTTATTTTGCAAGCTAAAAAGAGTACTGGTCTTCTCAAACATAGCACATGTTACCTAGAAGCACTCTTGCAACTGGAAAACCACTGTGTAAACTGAAACTGCAGGCGTTGACAGAACATCTCAGTTCAAAGAGGACAAATGCAAACAAGCTACTTCAGTTGACAGCTGTGATTTAAACCTTCAAAAAGGTCTGCAAAGATGCACTTACACATTGTGATGCTGTTGAAAATGATCAAATACAACTTGAAGTGTCAGGTGACAATTTATGGATACAACCATTAACAACGTGTAAGCTACTTCATACACACCAAACCCAAAAGACTGTAGGAATTAACATGTCTGCTCTTCTCTGCTGCCTTAGGATATTCTATTTGTAAAAATCAGGCAGATTAGAAAACCTTGCATTCTGCCAGTAATAAGTCCATTTAATGTTACAGTAATAGAATTGAGAAACTCACAGCTCGACAATAGATGTAGATAATAATGACACGACTTTCATTTCCCAGCTACTTACTTTACTTGCTAAACCTTATTTTGGGTGAACAGTTTTCATTTTGTCTTTGTGCTCCCGAACAAAGCACTTCTGTAAGACATTTTCAATCGATTTCATACAGCAAACAGGTTAAGATGTGTTCCCACAACATATCTGTACAGTGTGTAAAGTCAAAACTCCAATGTCTCTGTAACAGAGGTCAGCCAAGGTGATATAATTGACCCTTTTCAGCCATAAATTTTAGGTTTTAGCCTTTCCCATTTAAACTGAACAGTTGCATCCTGCAAAACAGATCATACACTGAAATACCATAAAAGGCTCAGGAAACAAAGTTATGGCTGGAACATGCTGTCTGTAATACACAGACTACCTCTCACTACAGTCTTTTTATACGTGTTAAGGTCTATGAAAATTAGGACTGCACTTGTTACTGTATTCTCTCTTTTTTTTTTCCCTCTAGCAAACTGCATTCTCTCATCCATCAATAAAAGTGAAAACCATTAATTTTCCTGCTGCAGTCATTCTATTCTCTCCCACTGATGGATTTCCATAACTCTCCTTCAGTGGCTAACATTAAGAAGAAATGTTTTCAAGAATATCTTTGTATAACTGATTTTTCTGAAATATAGGATATAAAATAGATGAAAAAATTCCAGGTAATCAATGATTCAGTGCTACCATTTCCATAGGAGGAAATGCTAGCTTGAATACTTGATTTTTTTACAGGCTGGAGAAAAAGAAACAAATGAAAAGCTTACATTTATATAGGTCCCATTTAACAGCAATACAGATAAACAAAACTGGAAAACTTTGAAAGATAATACAAACAACACATCCCCGTTTCCTCAGACACCTAATTCTTTGCCTGGAAAAACGTAAGGAGTTTTCACCCATGCAGATTAAAAGGTGCATGAAGAGTACTGGTAGTTCAAGTTGTCGTCCTTAATGGCAGCTTTGTCACTGCTAACTGTTCACAAGTGACCAGTTGAAAGTCAGCTTGCAAAGTTCTGTGACTGTCCTTGTCTTTAAAACTCCTTCCCTAGCACTTTTGCATCCAAGTGATCTGAATACATATTATTGATTTTGAGCCAACTCCTCAATGGTTTTAGATGTAACTGCCACTGAAATCAATAGTCTTTCTGTATTCTTGAGAAACTGGACCATCATCTATAAAACAAACTGATAATGCTTTAGTATGAGTAATTCACAAGTCCTAGGTAGAAGGGAAGGTTACAGGAGTCCGAACACAGCTCAGCCCTGATCTCCCTGATGTTACAGACTTTTAGGCATACACTGAATGACAGGAAGAAATGGATGAGGCTAGGCTCTTCTCGGTTGTGCGCAGTGATAGGACAAGGAGCAACGGCCTAAAACTTCAACATATGAAGTTTCATATTAACATGCAGAAGAACTTCTTTGCAGTAAGGGTGACAGCTGCTCAGAGATATTGTGGAGTCTCCTTCTTTGGAGATATTCAAGACCTGTCTAGATGCCTATCCATGTGACCTATTGTAGGGAACCTGCTTTAGCAGGGGGTTGGACTCAACAGTCTCTTGAGATCTCTTCCAAATCCTGCAACTCTGTGATTCTGCAAATGCATAAAACCATTAAAACACAGTAGCTAAGTTGAGGACTCGGATTTCAGGCTACTGATCCAAGAGCTAGTATCTACAGAAAAAAATATGTTCATGCTCTATAATATGTAAGGACACAAGCCTCAGGTTGCAACAGATTCATATCATATTTGGCGCAATATTTTCCTTTCAAGTGAAGAATCAGGTGGTGAACAGCATTTGGAGCATATGTACTTGTTTCTTACCAGCTGATTCCCATAAACCTCCATATGGCTTTTTAAATACAGTTCCTAACAATAATGGACCTTTACAGTTGCTTTACATCTGGCAATAGCATAGATTTTATTGGCAAAGAAATTACAAAATTTAAACAGGGATTTCTTAATATTGTTTTATTTTTATGTGTGACTATATTAAAAATGTTTATTCTGTGCTATCAAGCACTTTTCAAGGCATAGTCATAAATGCCACAGACAGAGATTAAGAGTTTAGTACCCCCCATGTGAGGCATAACCACTGACCACATGTGCATTATAATCCATGGAGCTATAAAGTAAAATAATGGTAAGTCTCCAATCCCTTTCACTTTGTTACTGAAACAGAGTAAGAAAGCATTCACAGTAATCACAGTTTGGAGAATTCTGATGACCTCCAGGCAAGGGCCAGTTTTTAAAGCTATCTAAAATAATTCCTTGCACTCATTCAGTTGCTTGCAGTGCTTAAACATCAGCATGCGTAAGCATCATCTTGCTCTTTTCAACACAAAGCTCTCTTAAGCATCCACCCACACTTTAAATGCATGTTTCAGTTAATTGTCATCATGAAATATGAGTGTCCAGATTGTATTAGCCAGACTTCCTAGTCCTAGATGTCTCTCTACCAAAAACATTATGGATACGTGCTGTTGCCAGTACTTTCATTCTTTCTGTATTTTTCTTGCTGCACTTGAGACTTTTAACTAATAAAGTCTAAACAATCAGTGAAAATTGTCTATACAAGATCCACTCTAATCAATAAGCTGTAGTACACTGTTCACTGTAGTACATTGTTGGCAAAGCATCCGTGTAGTCCTTTACAAAATCATAAGACTCAAAATGAGGAAAGGGCAAAGTTACCTAGATCATTTCCCATGTGTTAGTTTCAACCTGGTGAAAAGTGTCTGAGATATAATAGCACTGCAATTCTTTACTTATTATTCTAACCGATTACCAGAACAGAAAAATAATGCTATACTGAGATTCTACAAAGGACAACAGAGAATGCAAAAAACTAAGTAAGACCTGGAAAGGAAAACTAACTGCCTCAGGGTAGGAGAGTAAGTTTTTGAATATAAAAACAAAATTACTTCTTAGCTGAACTCAAACAATAAATGTATTGAATCTCCAGATCCAAAGCCCTGAACTATTTTGGATCAGAAACATTTCTGCCTAAGTTCCTTGACACACTTCCTAACTTAAAGATTTACAGTTTCTGCTCTCTGAAAATCAGGTCCTCCTTCCTACTCTTTCAAAGAAATTACAAATAACATAACAAAGGAAAAGTAAGCATTAATGGGCAGCAGCTAGAGAGATGCAAAGATCCTCTTTGAACCAGCATGGTACCACTAATTAGGATTTACCACCATTGCACACCTCCTTCTTTATTGAAGTAACTTCTAAGTAACTAAACAAAACATTTCTTCCTTAGACATCCTGGCTAGCAGTTCATAGAGAATTAAATAAAAATGAGATTGTCTTCTTCAACCTTGCTCATCAGAAGGTTAAATATCAAGTCTAGTTATCTAGGCTTTTACTTTATCTTTTTTTTTTCCCCAAGTAAAGCAGCAGGGAAGTTAACACGAGAAATGAAGAGATGTCATCCTAAGAAAGTAATTTAACATAGTGGCAATGAACTGCCCTTTGGAAATGTTTTTTCTTCTTTTACTTCTAAACTAGATCCACACTAGACTAGACTAGCACAGATAATTTACCTCATGTCCTTATATAGCTATGTGAACAGTATGCCACTCAGTAGATTTATTAAACTGGGAGTATTGAAAAAGACAACTTTCCTCTACAGTTTTTCCATGGAAAAAGTAAGTCACCATCAAAAAACATCTCCATCTATAATCCCAAGGAACCTTGTGACCCTTTATAACAAAATCAAGCAAAGTCTGTGCTCTAACATGTTACTGACTATAGCTGTGTTGGTTAACGGAATGAACAAAGACAGAGCTGTCAGAATATGTCAGAGAAGCTGGCTTTAGCACTGCCTCAGCTAGTCATGAATAAATCCTCCATTAGGACAGTTAAGCTACCAGAATACCGAAAATATTCTGTTTGCATGTAACAACAAATGGCAAAATACAGGGAGAGTACATCCACACCTCCGGTGCTTCATCCTCCATAAAACAATTCTCAATACTGACTACTATTGTTTGGATTTGAAAGCATTTCCCATGCATTCTGCACAAGTGACACAGGAATGTACAGAGATGAAGCAATAACTGCTGACTGGATTTAGCTGCATGGAATGGGGAAATAAGCCTTTTTTTTTCCCTCCTTTTTTTTCTCCATTAACTAAGACATGTACAGAAGCTTGAATATTTCAGAAACTCATAAAAGAAATGTCTTTAAAAGAGTTTGCTGCTACCTTCTGGAGAGCACTGCTTCAAATTTTACTTGAAGTATTGATTGTTATTGGAATCAGGACTGCTCTTTTTCACAAATTCAAGAACTTTTTGAGTTATGGGGCAAATATGACAATGCAATTTTCTTTTTTTCTTATACGTTTTGGATTTATGCTTTCAACTTGCAAGGTTATCTTGAACATATTGCTAATGAAAGACCTAAAAGAATGACAAAAACTTTTAGCGCAATGGAGTACTCTCTTAACTGGAGATATCCTTAAAACATTTCATATTACTAATGTGAAATACACTTTCCTTATTTTTGTCAAGAGGACAATAATAGATTTCTAGTTCCTCTATCACTTCTATATACGAAGTATCTATTTTTGCTTGTACCTCAAGAATGACTCCAATAGGTGCACAACTCTAAATGAATTTTCCATATGCTAGTCCACAAAGCTAATTGTTTTCTATGTTACAGCTTTTCTATGTTTTCTATGTTGTTACAGCTGACAACCACTTTTCAACGTAAGTTTCCCAGCATCATCCATACTGTCATCAGAACCACAAAAAGGAGTGATCTCTCTTTTTTAATTTCCTCTTTCATTAATACAATAATTATTTCATGGCAAGTTTCTAACTCGTTATGTAATTGAGCATAAGAAAACAAAGACTCTAAACAAAACTGTCTCTTCAAACAAGCACTTAAACTAGTTGTGCAGAAGAATTCATAAAATTAGTGTAAAATTCTCCTGCATAAATAATGGCTATGCCATCCCTAGAGGTCAGGTTGGATGGGGCCCTGAACAGCCTGATCGAGTGAGTGCCAACCCTGCCCATGGAAGGGGGGTCAGAGCTACATGATCTTTATGGTCCCTTCCAACCCTTTCAATGATTCTAAGACTGAAACCACACACTAATAATCAAAACACACACAAAAGGGGTGCTTCCTTCCTAATTTTTTTAAACTATTACTACTGATATTTTGGAGTTACAGAAGACCTGCTTAGCGATCTTTAATGTCAAAAATAGACAAAATTTCAAAAATATAAACTATTATTATGAATAATAAACAAACCATACACTTCATACTGAATAAAAAAACACTTTTAAGAACTAAAATTCTGTCATTATCTCTTGCTAAATCCATTCCTGCAAATTTACACTTGTTTCTCTTATGCAATTAAAAATCTGCCAAAGACCACACCAAGTACTATAAAAGGGAGAAGGAACAGAGCTTTTTCTGAGTAAGCAAAAAATTTCATGATGTGTATCCCAGCCACTGCCAAAATTTGCTGTTATTGAGATATTATAGTTGCCTACCATGCAAATTTTGGATTTAGTAATGATTTCAGTCATCCTATCCCCATTCTCAATTTTTAAAACACCTGAGCTCAATTTACCATATCTTAGTGAAATCTTCCACTCCGTCTGAGATTGGTGTCTGGCATTCACAGGCGGTAATCCAGAGCTCAGGGCCAAGCATTTTCTCTGCTTCACTCCTTAGATTACAGTCGTTATTTAAAAAAAATAAAAAAATAAAAAAAAATCAGAGACAAACTTCCTTACCTTTACCAATTCTGTATAACCTGTTTCCCTTGCTGTCCACCATGGCTGAGCTTTCAGTCCCTTGACATTGTAGAGAGAGCGCTGCCAGACTGATGCAAAGTGACCTCTTTGGTATCCAAGTTCATACCACTTGTATGCCTAGAATATGACACTTGTTAGCAATTAAACACATATTAACCAAAATTCTATAGAAAAAAGCTTAGGATCCATTTGATTCTGGGGATATTTGTCTACTACACAGAAGGTATAAACACTTTGAGAAGAAAAAAGTGAAAAATCATCAATCCCAGACATGTCAGTCAGCCACGGTTTTCCAGTCCAGCATTAGCAAAACAGGATCCTCCTCACAATCACTGATATCAGTAATTAATCTCATGGTAACTTTGGGAAAGAGGTAAAGTTTATAGAATACTGTTATCAGTGCTATGAGAGAACTTGCATGAAATGATATACTTAGGTCACTATATTTTGACTCCGGTGGAAAAAATCACAAGTTGTAGGAGCAGAAAACAGGCAAAAAAACACATTCAATTCATTTCTGATTTTTTTTTTTTTTTTTCTTTTTGGAAGCTCCACATAAATGTCAAACGTTTTGGTCAATTCTGTGGCAAAAGAAGGAATGCTAACACGTACAATCATCATGCAAATTGCTCTTTGGTTTTTTGTTTTTTTTTTTTTGCTATTGCTTATCTTGACTTCTACACAAGTATGCTGCACTGTTACTTAAAATGGACTACTCAAGTTTTTGACTATGAGCCCATGCTCAGAAGTTTATTCTGGATTTGCCAGATGTTAAAGCAAGGCCATGTTAAATATGTACCTCTTTGTCTCCTATTCTCTGCAAGGCGTCACCCAAATGAAAGTAAAATCGTCCATCATCTGTGCCAGGGTCACCAGACTCTAGTCCTTCCTAAAAAAAACAACAATAGAAATAGAACAGTAGAAAAGAAACTTCAATGGGACTTCTAAGAGGTTATTGTTGTATATAGCCTGTCAATTCTATGCAAGAGAAAACCTATGAAATTGGCCATAAAATGTAACTACCATGATAACTATGAATTTAGGTTGAATGAATACATTATTCAGTGAAAAGCCCTTAAAAAACGTTATCAGTTTGCAAAATCCCATGGCTTCTTACCCCAGTCCAAGACAGAGCTGTATTCAAAGACAAACACTTTACTATAAACGTACACAACCATTTTAGAAAGCTGGTTATTGTAAATTAAGATTTTGTTTCATAGTATTTCTTCCAAATGCTCAGACATATGCAATTTTTCTCTTTTGATCTCTCAAGAACCTTTAGTTTGCAGCATACGGCAAGCCTCAAAACAATTAGAGACACTCAGCTGTGTACTAATAGAACCAATATTTGATGTTTAAGAATTGATGCATCTTAGTGTATAAGCTTGTTCCCTTTATTGGCAGTGATATAGCAATACAATTCTGATGCACAGCTTTAATTGTGATGTGCAATTAGATTGCTTCTAGCTTGACAGATTATGTATATTATGATTTTCCTTTTTTTTTTTTTCATATTGGTAAAATATTTACCTTTAGATAAGGTATGCTCTCTGCTATTTTGTTTTCGGCCTTCAGGATGAAGCCATAATGTACTTTGGCAAAGCCATCATCTGGAGCCAGACGTAGAACCTGTTTGAGGGCAAAGGAATTAAATAGTCACATATGAATCTATACAAATTAACAAGTCTGTGTACAAATTACTATTTAGTAATGCAATTAGATTTTCTTTCATCTCTGGGACAGATAAATTCTTGCTTTTCCTGTACTTTTATACTTTTACATTTATCTTTCTCCCAAATAACTTATTATAAACCAAACTTCGAATTTTCATATGTAGAATTATTCCAGTTGGCTTCTCTGAATTGCATTATTTCCTTCTTGTGCCTCCTCTTCCACCTTCTGTCTTGAGTTATGACATGCTAAATTACAGGACTAATGTAAAAGAAGGCAGCTTCTCTTTGAACAAGTCTACAGAAGATCACAAGAAGAATAGTGTGGTAATATGCCTGGAATAGCTTAAAATGTGTTAGGTTTACACTGGCAGACTAGTCTTGAAAAGAGAGAACATACTATGCTGTGAAGCACAGTGACTGCTATTTAGAAACATGCTGTGAAATAATGCTTGTATCACGAGATGGGGCTGTACAAACCAGGCAAAGCAAAAACCATTCTCAACGCAACAGTAAGAACTCTCTTTGAAGAGCTTACACTTTCCTGTCCAAGAGAAAGCAATCAGAAAGTCATGCAAAGACTAGTAGGGTACCTCAAGTGATTCAGCATGCTTTCATACCAGATGATGGATAAATCATTCCTTGACAGTTGTGTGCTGCACTCAAAGACCTAGTGTGCTTAATTAAGCTAAAAGAGTTTGTACCCTGAAGAAAATTTAGACATATTTGAGTTAGAACATAACATTGTTAACTTTGCAGAAAAGGAGAACCCATGTCAAGTAAGAAATCTGATCCTCATTAGGCACAGATGGATATTTCCAGTGCAAGAGAAAAATTTGTGAACACGGGGAAAGCTATAAGAGAGGATCGCTGTACGGGGGAGTGTTTCAGGGGAAGGAAGTGTGAAGCTGACTAGCCTGAGTTCTAAAACGTACTCCCAACAATACTGGATAATTTAAGTGCATTTAGTCTGTGGCTCAGCCATGGGAAAAAAAAAATAAAAATTACAGAATGCTTGATCTACTTTCCAGCTCCATGTTCTTATCATACTATAAATACAAAACATATGTAGGTTGCTCTGAAACTAATACCTCCTGTTTATTTCCATGGAAAATACAAGAAATACAAAGAGCACAGTAACACTGGTTGATAGAACAAAATCTCAGGACAAAGCACTGTTATTCAACATAGGCCATGCACTTCCACCAGCGATGACCAAGAGCCTACATGCTGCACTCACAATAAACCTGCACCATCCACCACCTCAGCATGCTCTGGCATCCACTGTTTTGCTCTCCATAAACATTCAGTAAGCTCAGATGAATATCAGTAGGTGGCATTTTTTCCCCTCAGAGAAGAATTTCACTCCTTTGCTTCCTACACACTTCCTACACATTTCCACCATTGTATCCGACTGCCCCCATGATGCCATCTGTCACATGGCAACAGAATGTAACAAAATGTTGGTGGTAAGGTTCGACCTCTATGACCATACCAACAAGCATCCACCTCTGATGCTGTGGGCCAACATAGAAAAACAGAAGGCATTATTTTTCAGAGCAGCAGCCCTTGTGTGTATATATTCAGTATCATATGAAGCTTCATGTGATATCGATTACATGGTCAAGAAAAATCTGTTGGTAAATAAATAAGGGTGAAAAGTCCAATCGGGACAAATCCTCAGTTTGTGAAGACCAGCACAAGTGCCTAGAAGTCAGCAGAAGGACAGAGACTGATACAGATGCAGACACATAGTCTCTCTTCTCTAAATCCATTTTTGAAACTAGTAAGCTCATGCCACGCATAAAATATCTGCATACATTATAGCCATTTCCCTACCCTTTTTTCCAGCCACTGTCTAGCCTAATTCTTCAATCAAAACAATCAGAAGTAAACCTATAACAAGTCCTTTGGGTCAATTTCTTTACTTTCTCTAACATTATTACACAAAAAATACATCCAAGCAAAAACAAAATCAGCGCTACATGGGTATAAATGCTATGGCTTAAAAATAGGAGTATTTCATATAGTTTTACAGAAAAAAACCACTATGAAGAAATTTTGAGAATCTATTTGAAGTCTGTAATATGGTATTAGCAAAAATGAACTTTGTAATTCATAATATGGATCAGGTTGACCACTAAGTTGGCACCACCAAATGAGTTTTATACTTTATGCATACAGCATTCTGCATAGAAGCATTCTGTTCCAGGACCTGTACCTGCTTGGTGAAATAAAAATGACTGACAGAAATATTTATTAGTCATATAATTTTGTTACAGTTCCTTTAACTATAGGATAAAGCTATCTGATTAATTAAGACAGAAGAGAATTTTCTATATTACAGTTCATTTAAACTCTGCCGGGTTGCATTAAGGCATGATCTACATTCAGAGCCCCTAAAGAGAAGTGAAGAGATACAATCAGCAGAAATTACACTGGAAGTATTTAATGTAAATTGTATTACTCTGTTGCTGTTGCTGCATGCAATATTAATTATGTTTAAAAATAAGTTTTACTAAACCGCACATTGCCCATTAAATATTAATCATGAATATAGAAATTAACCTCTGGGGCTATCAGTGGCTAATTAGCCAGGGCAGAGTAGTGTGTTAATGTGGGTATTCTGCTTTTGGTACCTGAAATAGTTCAATCAGAGCTGGTTTGTATGCATCTGTATATGACTGCATTGAGGCCATGCAGACATAACTCAGAATGGCAGGCAGAAAAATTGCTATAAGTTCACTCACTCTGCTACGGAAATTCTCCCCATTGTGTTTTATCTACCTGTAGATACTTGAAAACAAAAATAGCTTTAATTTCTGTGAGAACTACTGTCAATGTTATGTTTCAATGTAGCTGGGTATAATGTTCAGAAGAAAATATATTAACATTTGGCAAAATTGAAATCCTCTCCAGTTGGACACCATTTTTCATTTGTTGTTCAGCAGAAAGTCTGGTAAATGCAACTAAAAAGTGTATTTTGTATCATCATCTTAAATCACACTACTCTACAGCTCAAAGTACACAGCTGTCTTGATCTGAAGTTTAGCATTTTATATACACATCACTTCTACTGTAAAAAGAACACATTTAAGATTATTGAAAAAAAAAATTGATCGTAACACTTTAACAAAGTGTTTTACAAAGACAAAATTAGTTTCTCCACTTTTTTTAGAAACAATTTTGATTAGTTTCCAATGTTTAAATCTGGTTATAAAAAAGGGGTGAAGTTGATGGGAAAATAAGCAAGCTGGCCATTAAATGTGAAGCAGAAAGCTTTCATTCACTAGGATTTCTTGGGCACTGATTCAGTTTTTTAGAGATGATGTCAGCTGTTTAATGTGGTTTGAAATGGTGCACGATGCAATCCCAACGTAGTCCTGAGTGCCTGTGTAGAGTGGGTAATGCCTGCTCAGCCCATGCCTAACATACAGTCAACACTGAGTTTGGACTATAACATTACAACAGGAAGCAAACAAGATCGCTGTTATCTCTTCCAAAGCATCCAGTACATTTGCTGTAAATGGGACACTTGGAGTCCAGATTCTCCTCCAGCCCAACTTTCTCTCCTCAGGCAAGTTCCAAAGTACACCATTCCCATGTTAGACAACTACACAGAAAGTAATGGAAATTAGCAAGAAGCAGACTCTAAAGTCAAACCCAAGGTATGCTCCCTTAAGAATGAGCTGAGCTCTGCTCTCTTTTCCTACACATATATGCCCTCTGCATTAAAAAAATACTTCATTCATCATGGTAACTGAAACAGAGGATTCATAAATACTAGAGGCATCTACTCTGCAGCACTGAATTTAGGCTCTTGTTTGGGATGCCTTGTTTCCTAGCAGATGACTAATTTGTCCTAGTTTTTTTGTTTGTTTGTTTTTTTTAACTCACAGGAAGAAGATTTTTCTTGGAGGTCACCGGAACAACTTACCATAGTTTGCCTCACTTGTGTTGACTATGCATAGAGCCTCAGCACCTATGGCAGAGCTTTAAACCATATGTCAGTCACTTCCTAATTATGCATTGCAACAGCTGAGTGGAGCACTCAAGAGCAGACCATATGGCCCCAGAGCAATCCACCCAAAAACATTAAAGAAGCTTTTGGTATAACCAAGAATAAAAGCACGTGCACATAAGCTTCTGCCTGTGTCTTTGACTATATCTTCTTTCATAAAATTCTTCATGTAAATTTATACTTCATTACAACAAAGGAAAAAAAATTGCATTACAACAGTAGAATTCAGCCTGAGGAAAAGTCAGAAAATGGACAAAATCTGCATGATTAAAAAAAAAAAATCCAAATCCTTTTAAAAGACACTTATTTGTTGATCTTTTACAAGGACAGAACATCACTATGATCTGTTCTATTTCACTGACTAGTGAACTGTAAAACAGAGTAATTATACTGGATGAAGACTATGGAAGCATGGAAAACAATATACTGAAACCAGACCAGTTCTTATTTTGCATATCTACCCTTAATAAAAGTAGTAAAAGCTTCTTCTGAAGTCTATCAAATGCAATCTCACAGTAGCTGCATAACAAACTCATTACCATCTTCCAATTATAAATAAATCCTATGATTATTGCTACTGAGAAATTCTAACATCTACATTGCTTGCAACTGAAAAGTTGTGAAGGAAAATCGTGCCATAAATGAGAAGCATGTTCGATTAATAATGGTCAAAAAACACCTTCTTCTAGCTTTTTTCTAGCTTTAGCTAACTTTTGATAGCAGGCCAAAAATTACTGAACAGAAGCGTACTAAGGAGAGACCTACAGAGCAGCAAGAGTAGCAAAGCAAACAGTAGTTTGGCAACTACTGCGGCTGTCAGAAGAGCTTCAGACAGAAAAGGATTATCAAGGTTTGGCTCCTGCTTCCAAGCATGGGGATAAATGCCCTCAACCCCTCTGAGAAACCATCTGAGACAAGAATCCCTCAGACATCCAGATGTGGAGACTGAAAACTGTGCCTCTGCTCTCAGGAGGAGGTATCAATCATGCTGGCTTGTCCTCAGTCTGTGTAACCAGTAAATCATCATACTACTCATGCACCAAACAAGACCTGGAACAAGCGTGCCAACACCAACAATATCATCTCTGATCAGGACCTGATAGCTCTTGCTATGCCAGTTACATCAAGCTCCACATCTATTAGAGAGCTTCCAGATGTGAATGGGGTTCTTGCATCACAGGAGTGGACTGACCCTTCCCCCAGCCTGCAATTGCTAGACAGCAATAAAAATCCAGTAAACAGAGCACGCTACAAGGATCATGGGATCATGGAAGAAAAACAGCATTTAGGCTGCCTTTGAAAATCTGGAAAAAGGCTACAGATAAATAGATTTGCAGGTACTCAACTATGTATTCACATGGAAAAAGACACCATTCCTGTAAAGAAACAAGCTTATTTCTGCTTTCCATGCCTTCCAGATATAAGTAACATCTACATATGTTGTCAATATATTCCAAACCTGCCTATCAGAAAGCATAAGAAACCAAGGATTATTAAGTATGTTTCTCTGTGAGGAAAAAACATTTAGTATGATGGTATCAGGAAGTCTGAATGCAATCCAGAGAACAAGAAATGGATGGTAAAATAAATAAATCTCATCAATGTTAATCCTTCAAAAACAGACATGCAAAATGTTTCGCCACTAAAGAAGTTAAACACAGGCAATCTTAAAAATGGACATATGAATGTGTTTTCCTCAGCTAGAATGGATGCTCACCTCTTCATACACTTGCTTGGCATTGCTGTTATCTCCTATCAAGAGGTAACCGACGCCAAGGTCATTCTTGAATGACGTATCACTGGGAAACAGATGAACTAATTTCTGTAGCGTAATCAGGGAACTTCTCATGCGACCTAATTTGATTGAACAAGGCTTCATTACAACAGTGGATACAAGTAATAGTATTAAGATGCATAACATCTAAGAAAACACAAATCAGATCCAGATGTTCCATTTTCACTAAAGATCACAAGGTAGAACTTCAGAAAAGGCTCATGCAGACAGGAGTATATTCAGCTGCTTGGTTGCCACAGCAAGCGTAGTTGTACAAGGAATATTTTAGGAAATCACTCAGAATGCATATCATACAGTGTTATGGTAGCCTCTAGTGGAGAACAGTTCACAGTGTAGCTCTAACATTAAGCTCTGTTTGCTCTTTCACACATAGATATCAAAGCACTTAATAAAACCCGGTAAACATATCAAAATAAACTTTGTCTTAATTAACTGAAGTAATTAAACACATTTTGAAATGCTCAGCTGTTACACTGAAAGCAATCATGCTTCACACGTATAAAATTAAATATATAATTCATCGACTTCCTAAATGAGGTCTTACTGAAGAATAGTAAGATCAAAACAAGCTGAAGCTAAAACCCAGTCCACAGGAACAGATCTCTTCTCCCACTGAAGTCTGTTGTGCTTCATGCTCTGATCAAAAATTCTTGTACATCACAGAACTGAGATCTGAACTTTCAGATGGATTAATTGTTTTCATTCATTGTTTTAGGACTTCATTCTTAGCATTCCAGCTTCAGATTTTCACTCTCTGATAAACACAAAAACAAATCTGGCTCATTTTAATAGACATTCTTGTATTAGAGTATTCTTAACAGGCAGCTTTTTGATCTGCATCTGGACATCCAAAACTGACACATTGAAAACTATAAAGAGGTCACATTGGACATCCCTTTGCCTCTGACACAGAATCACTGAAAGATTCATGGTTTAGAAATTTTGTTGATGATATTGTGATCATCAGGATCAAGTCCACCTACTTTTTCTTAAGAAAAAACAGCACTGCAAACTAAATATGTGAAAAAGATATGAAATTCAAGTATCAGTAGGCAAAGTCTAATCTACTAAAAGTAAGAAAGGGATGCATAATCATCCTGCATAAGCCACCCACTTAAGACAATCTAGTGCCTTAAAAGGTTGCTGTAAGTCATCTCCAGAAGTAATGAATATAATCCTGCTCTACTTGAGCAACTCTATTGAGTTGTTACTGTTAAATAGCAAAAATGGTTTTCTTGTTCAATCTATTAGCTAGTTATTTCACTATTTACATTTTTTAAAGTGGGATTAAGAGCATCAGGTATGGAGATTCATGATGCCTCACAATTTTTGGCCTAAGAGTCATTGCCACTCATAATTCAGTCGGAGAATTAATAATGAGCTAACTCAAGTAATGTTAGCATAACATAATGTGAAATTTTGTGATGGCAATGGATAGATATACAATTACAATTTTCTGACAGCATGTAAACAGTTTCCATAGACTTCTTTTTATTTTATAAAACTGCATAAGTACACTTTTATACTTTTATTATATCTGCTTTAGGTTATACAATACACTATCAATATACCTTCATTGGAAAACAGGACTTTCCAAACCGTCAAAAGAAGGAATACTTTATTAAAACATTATCCTTCAGTTCAATTCTGTTCTTCTCTATGTTTACTTTACGTTTATTTGGGAGTATGTTTACTTCATGTATGCCATTTATTTCCCCAAGGTTTCCATCAGCCTCAGTAGAAAATGAATTTTTTTTCTTTTACTCAAAATTTTTTTTAATTTTTTTTTTTTAAACTATCTCCTTTCTCCTTGCTTGGCATTTTGTCAGAAAAACGACAGACACTTAGGTCAGTAGCAAAATTTTTAAGACTTTTTAAAAATCTTTCATTTATTCCAATGAAAATTCAATTGAATTTTTGCTGTTAAATCCTTAGTGATCTTCTTAAAGTCACACAACATTCAGAATTTTTACACCATCCACAAAACTCACCAAGGAACTGCTGCCTGTCAGCTTCTCGTTTCAAGCTCAGTTTTATCAGATCTGAAGGGACATTTGGCAGACTAACCACCTCATCATAGGTGTTGATAGCTTTTTGCAGCATCTCATTACTTCTCATTTTCTCAGCTAAGTCATCTTCAGACTAGAGAGAATTACAAAACTATTATTAGAACACATAATAATACGTTATTTCTCAAAACAATTTTGTTTTCTTTAAAGGCAGCCTATGCAATTTTTAGATTATGGGAATAATTTTTGAATTATATTTAATTCATATAATTTTAACATAACAGTGAAAAACTTATTAGGTTGAGTTTTGTGATAAGGTAGATTAGAAGTACTACTAATTCTTCCTTCATGCAAACTGTTTGAAAGCATAAGAACGTTTGTACCTAAAACATACAACTGACACTGTATACGACTATATACATTAACACTCTTTTTTGTTTAATATTTGCAGAAGACACAATTCCTGCTTTTAAAAGCAAAACAAAAAAGTTTGTTTTAACAGTGTGGAAGAAATGTAAACTGTTGCCAGATTAGTTTCATATTACGTCTCATGCTAACAGTAACACGCAGATCAAAACACACCAACAAATATTTCTTTCATATATTCTGACAAATTTCCTTACAGTCTTTCTTAGAAAAAATAATTTAGAAAAGAATTTACTTTACTCTTGCATATTTTGAAATAATGCCTATCACATAACTCTTACTTAAATTACTTCATTAAGTTCAGGAGCAGGCTGAAGGATATATGAGATTTCTACTGTGAAAGTACAGCTTCAGTAAAGCCAGTGGGAACTACTACTGATGTCACCTGTGGAATGTTATTTTTATAATTTGTTTCCACAGCTGTATCTCAGTCATGAATTTTTAATGAATTATTTTGCATTATTTATTCAAAAGCATGCATTTTCATGTGATTAAATCATTCTTCCTAAATGCTTCTATTTTTATTGGCTGAAGTCAATTAGCAGAGCAAGGTGTAGATGCATCACAAGCACTGATGAAACTGAAGCTCTTATTGCTCAATCCATTGTTGTATCGATCACACATTAATTTAAACAACTTCAACTATGTTAGTTGTAGTAAGTAGTTAATATCTGGAATCTTTGCACTTCTGTCCATTACTTTCTTTCCTCAGGCTCTTTTGAAATTGAGTATGGAGAATACCATAAAACACAGTTCCTCGTCCAATATCTGTTCAGTTACTTTCAAATAACCCTCACAAATAAATTATGAGATTATTTATTTTTCTGATATACGTTCACTAGCACATTTGTTTTTCTTTTTTTGAGGTAATTGCAGGGTAAAAAATAGTAAAAAATAAATAAGGAAAAAAAAATTTTCAATGTAACATCTGATTAAATTCACCAATATATATGCTGTAAGTCATTATAAAGAGGTTTAAGATCTGTCTACTCTTCAGCCCTAAATATTTCAACTATTTCTTTAGAATATTTTTCATCTGGTCTAAGTGTAGTTCAGGAATGAAGGCAAGGATTACTCAAATTTCTAAAATCACTAACTTGAGGGAAAAACAGTTGACATTTAAAGCTACTAAAAGATGGAGAAAAGTGAATCTTCATGCTTTAATACATCTAGAATCTTCAAAATGAGCATATAATTCTGGTTCATGGTTCATAGACAAGGCAAAGTGCTCCTGTAGCAAACTTCAGGGCCTTACATTTATCCTCCTCTGAGATGTTACTTTTAGTTAGAGCTGAGAAATAGCAAATTCAAATTCATTTTGTTGGCATTAATATCCATTCTGAAGTTGTTACAAGGTAAGTCCTCAGAATACTCTGTCAGCAAAGCCCATGATTTTCTTGCTCTTTTCAAACAGTTGCACCTTACACATATTTGATTCAATAAAATTATCATTGGTCACATCAATGCAAGTGCTCAGTAAAAAGACTTGTATGAGTCTACAAATGATACTGAAAATGGAAATGAATTTATAGTTGCCTTTATACATTCCCCAAAAATGCCTGCTCATTATGACTTCAGATCTCTGTCTCATCTTTATTAAAGTGGTAGATGGTGACTACAAATTGGTGTAAAAGAATGATTGCAGTTGTGTCATTGGGGAGAACTCTCTAAAATCTGGCTTATATGATCTGTCCTCCTCCCTAAAAACAGTGAACTTATGATGACAGGAACTATATTTTCTTAGATGTAATGACCAGATTCATTAATTAGGTAAGTCTTAAAAGCATAACTCTTTTTAGTTCATTACTTGTGTTATGTCTATGTGGCAAGGTTGACTGCAGAGTGGTCACAGAGCAGCTGCCTCAAGTCAGCATTTTTTCTTCCGAGACAACTCAACATAGCTCAAAAACAGCATTATAAAGGCAGAGCTTATCTTCTAATGTGTGTGGTTGGTTTTTTTTTTTTCCCTTCTGTGTGTGAGTAGGGTGGAGAGAAGAATATCTAAAACACACCAACTTCCTCCACAAGATAAAGCTAATTAAGCCTCCTTGTCTGGATTTTTGTTGTTGTTCTTTATCCTTTATATGTTCTTTACCACTCTACAGAAACTTCACATCTTATTTTTGTGTTATTGACAATACTTCCCACTAGACTAAAGTTAAACAAAAGCTTATGAAGTAACTGGGAAAGGACAGAATACTGGAACGGGCCCAGTTTGACAGATCATGTAATGTTTTTCCTTAGGAAAAATCTACAAAATTATAAATGAAATGTGAATGGAATCTAGAGTTCTAGCATTAGAAAATATTTATGGATCACCTATAAAACATTTATGACTTTTAATTCATATATTTATGTACCTGTGCTTTTCCATATCTTGCTCGTGGACTTTCTGGATATTGATTTACCAATGCTTCAAAGGCTCTTAGAGCTTCTTCAACTTTTCCCTGGAAGGCAAAGGATTTTATCAGCATTTACATCTAAGAAAGATGCTGAAGGATGCATGGCCTGATAGCAAATGAGTTTCCCCAAGTTGAAACAAAAATTATACAAAATTCAGACTGTGAATCTGGGAAAAACAATTTTCACTCATATTTTTGTTGGGATTACTTTGTTGTTTAAGAGAAATCACTGTCATTACTTACAAAGTGGTAACATTCACATTCACTTCCCATGCTTAAAGGTAATAATGTTTTTACTGTATTTTGCTTTTGTTGACTGGAAAAAATGTTCAGAAGTAACAACCCATCTATATTAAAATATAAAAATTCTATGGATAATAACAAATTCCAAAGTGAGTGCAACATACAGAAAAAAGTTTTATACACAGATGGAAATTTCTTGTCTGGATGTCTCATATGACCAGCCATACCACAATTGTGGTTCTCTGGAAAATAGGACAGAGCCATCAGTATATGGATGTATCAGTATATGGATGTTTCCTTTGAATGTTTTGAACAAGTCCCTTAGGACTCCACGTGAGCTCTGCATCTCCTCCCTGTGCCATACAAAGTTTGCATACAACCATAGTAATTTCATGGCTCATGCTGACTAGCCAACTAGGGTGGAAGTTGAGAAGAACCAATGGCACTTTTAAACAGAAACTAAGCACTGTTGGCAAAATCTGGCATCAGATCTTGCTGCCACATGCAAATCTTACAGCTTTACAAATGAGTGATTATTATACATCACTGCCCTGCTATCCTCAAATATTACATACATCTGAGTTTTAGGAGGAAGTTTTTAACTCGGAGGATGGTGACACACTGGAACCTCCAAGGAGGTTGTGGATGCCCCATTCCTGGAGGCATTCAAGACCAGGCTGGATGTGGCTCTGGGCAGCCTGCTCTAGTGGTTGGTGACCCTGCATGTGGCAGGGGAGTTGAAACTAGATGATCATTGTGGTCCTTTTCAACCCAAGCCTTTCTATGATTCTATGAGTTGTCACTATATTTACCCTGTTTCCTACAAAACAAGCAGGATTGTTTGCAACTCACCATGAGACAAATACAGAAAAACAGTCAGCAAACTGATACCATAGGCTCATCAGAATAAGCAAAATAAGCATGTAAATGTTTTGAATTTTTGTATTTCAACACATAAACAAGGTCCCCAGTGAAGAGCAGCAGTAGAAGCAGCATGATGCTAGTGCTCTCTGTACAATAGTCCCGCCACAGTTTTGCATGGATGGCAAAGTAAATCAAAATCTGCAGCCAGTCTTCTGAAAAAATCAAGACTCATCTATACTTGCAATGATTAAAGTGCTTTTTTTTTTTTTTTTTAACTGCACTGTGCTGACAGTGGCATATTTCCTCATTGTTCTGTCCCCTGAAGTGACCAAAAAGGGCAGAACAAAGACCTGCAATTGTTCTCCACACTCTTTGTTCAAGTTTTTAAACTACTGAAATTGATTGACTGATGTTACTGGTGTGAAGCAGATGTTTCTGCCTCAATGCTCTAAGCTGTGTGGCAACAGAGACATTCCTATGATGCATGCAAAAGTCCATCAAAAACAACACCTCTGACAAGGTTTTTCACCTAATGATCATGAAGCACATGAACCCATACCAAGAGAGTCATATTAACATGCTTCTGTTATCTAAGTTCACTGATAACAGCTGACCACAGTGATAGGATAGATGTAACCCACATACATGTGGTTAATTTAAACACTTACTGATAATATGAATTCAACAGTTAAGCTACATGTTTTCATGGTTAAAAGTGAGCAAACACATGACTGGTCATATACATCATTTGGAAAATATAAACTATCTGACAGAATTTAAACTTGAGGTACCAACGGTCACCAAATATTTAAGTTTAAAGAAAGTTACACAAAATGTAATCTAGAAGTAATTCTCCATTCTTTTTTCTTAAGTTAGCTGTTATTCATGCCCACAATTTAGACTGAGTGAAACATTCAAAACTTACTTTCTTACGTAATTTTTCTGCAGCATCTAATTCAGCTTTAATGGTTTTATCAAACTTGTTTAAGAGCTTCGGCTTCTTCTTTTTTTTAACTGGAAAGAAATTAAAAAGATACAGTTTGTTACTTCTTTCATACTTCACAGCAATTGTACTGATTAGCTTTAACTAGAAACTAACACTGTATGTTAAAGCACGTATCTTCAAATAAGGTGGCTTCAAAATACACTGAGAAGGAATTGATTATTAAAATCACAAAATCCTGTATGAAAAGTAACTGTCAGTCATTCAGACTGAATAACCCTCTGCTCAAGTCTTTGATAAAAGCATTTTTCATCTTATGCAGCTGAGTGTTTTTCCAAAGGAAGAACAGAACAAACTATGTAGTTTCTTCACTTTTCTATGGTATTTTGAAAAATACATTTAAAAATGATTAGCATGTCCTGATAAAGTTGTGTCACTATGTATCTATTTATTTACCTAAAGCAATTAGGGGAATTGACAGAAATCACAGAATTACTCGGGACAGTGAATAAAAAAAAAAAAATCACGTGGTCCAAATCCCTTTAAACAGCGAATGTCATAACTGGTGCATGTAAAGCTAAAACCAAACACCATACAGATTAACATCACAACACCGCTGCAATCCTGTAGCAAATACTTTGGATACACACTACAGAGTATTTTGACAAGTTATATTTTATTCTTCTTAAGCCTTCATGTGCAGTGTGTGTGGATGGCAAGAACAGCCCCATGCTCCGTTAGCTGTGCTCATGATTCAGTTAATGACACCTTCTCTATAAAACTGATCTTTAAGTGAGCTTCAAGGAGACAAATCATTTCATCTACAGGAAAAAAAAAAAAAAACATCAGAGAAAGGTTAACACCTTTGTTAATGCTAAGCCAATACTAACTCAGCACTCCATGAGTCTGAACTGTTTCTGTGTGAGGAAAAAATTGATGACCGCCTTTGGTTCTTTCTGTGTAAGACTTACTGTCATGCTCAACCCTGAACTCAGATAATTAGCACGTAAATAACAGTCCCACATAGAAAGAGTTTTTCTTACATTACCTTTATAAACGATTCTGCAGCATTAGTATGCACAATTAACTAGATGCTATTGCCACTAGGAGGCAGGGGAAGATATCAATTCAAGCAAGGTTGAAGCTGTCCTACTAAATTTCATTTGCTTATTCACAAAGATTGTACAAAGCTTTAAATATAAAAATGTTTCAGGTTCTATAAAGTAAAAATAATAAAGAAGAGATACATTATAGTATAGTTATATTCCCATTGATCCCTGCAATAATAGAAGACATTGCAATTTTCCAATGGATTAGCAACCAGGAAAATAAGAAAAGAAATGATATACAAGAGTTTATTCTTTTTTCAGAGTAAACCATCACATAGTTCACTTTAAAGTACTGAGTTTGCTCCACTAAACACTTAAAAGTTTCACTGTACCTTACAACTTGAAATCAAGCATTTCTAGCCAGGCACAGAATAATGTACTTAAGGAATGTAGTTATCATGGAATCAAGCTGATAGAAGAGAAACTTTTTCTTGAATGCTGCACAGTTCACAAGAACCAGCTCTCATAGTGCGAACAAGGATTCCTCCACTCCAGGACCCAAAGAGACTAACAGTTATGGGCAGAAGCTTCTGACATAACATCATTAGGACAGAAAATAACTTTTTTTTTTTTCCTAAAAATATTCCACCTCAGAAATAGCAATGATATCTCGAAACGAAGATCTGACTTTCTCAAAAGTAATTGTGAATGAACTTAGGAGTACTGGCCCTAAAAGCTATTAAAGTCAAGACTCCCTAAGGGCTTTTTAGGTTGGTTGAGCTCATACAAAACATGATTTGCTGTTAGCAAGAAAACCGAGACATTTCAGTTCCACTGACTGCAGAATCTAGGAGACATCCAGCTGGACATCACCACCAAGCATCTCTAATATGAGGCTGTGCATACAAGAAACTATGTGAAGGAACAAACAAAAAAAAAAGTCAATTCTCAGTTCCTGCAGTATGAATAAAAACCTTTATCTAAAAGTGGCCAGCTGTTCAGAAATCTTGTATTTAATAAGAAAGAACAGCTGTTGGTCACCTCTCTAACTTTCAGCGTTGACAGAAAGATGATCCTTCTCAAGCTTAAGCATGGCAGCAGCAGGGTTTCTGTGAGGCAATGGAAAGAAGCTCTCCCCTCCCCCCTCATCCCCCCAGGAGAAACTTACTGACTGTAGAATTGTGTTTTCCGCTTTGAGTTTAAAGAATATGAGACAAACAGCTCAGAAGAAAGAGCAAATGCAAACTCTTAGAAATCTTTTGCCAAAGAAATAACATCTTTTCTCTCATGTCCAGTTTTGGTGACACATGGGAAGAATCTTTTAGTCAGCCCCCATTACCAAGAAGCTTTATTTTCCCATCTTCACTACAGTTTTATATCAGCTTTAGACCAGCAGGAGACCAATATGAAAAGCCGGAAAAGAGCTGCTAACGTAAATATTATTCAGCTGCTAGGCACTAATACAACACAGTAAACATTATATAATGAGCAATTATTTTCATCTACTCATTCCACTCCTACGTTAAAGCATTCACCTGGGAGCTTTCAGTATAACCATCAAGCATTCCTCTCTATTAAGCAGATAGCCTGCTATCTCCCTGCAGGGGTATTTTAATAAATTATACATTGCCTCCTTCTAGTGTAATAATCCTTTAGCAGATGTGATCCAGTATATTAAACTCAGCATTACAAAGAAATGAACTTAAATGCTTTCAGAGGAAAAAAAAAAGAACATGCAGCTTTTCTTCAGTAATTTTCAGATTTCACCATATATATGAAGAAATGCACAATCATACAACTGCTAGGCTGATCCAAATCTGGTTAAGCACTGAAATGGGGATAATTCTTTCATATTTATCATACTATGGTCTTGCGAGAATACTGAGCGTTTCCAGTAATGGCCTTGGATGTAAGCATAAACTTGCTACCTAAGATTGCTGTCATACAACTGCTGAAGATTCCCTCAGAAAAAAAAATGTTTCCACTTTAACAACAGTAATCTAGGAAGAAGACTCATCATGTGCTACTTCTTTCCACTGGAGAATAAACAATAGGCAGTGCTGACAAGCAATCCCATTATCTCTCTACTGTATTAAGATCCAGGGAAGAAAAAAGCAAAGAGAAAACTACAACAGCTGGAAAATATTTTCTAAGTGATAAATTAATAGTCTGCAATGTTATCAAATGAAGGATGATGAAATGTTACATTCTCTATAATGGTTTCCATATAGGAAGACTAAAAACAAAACATGCCAGTTGTTTTAAATTGAAAGGCATTTTCATCAACAAAAACAATTATTTTCTATAAAGGATAGATAAATATCATTTGAAAAATAACGAATGCACTTCAGATACTCTAAGGCACCAAGAGAAAAATTAGCAAAAGTAACTAAGTGATTAAAAATGAATCAACCACTAATTTTTGAAGAATTGCTTAAAAATATTTTCTGTTTAGTTTCATAGGTGGGGAGAAAATTTTACATCTGTACAGGCAAAAACAAGGTGGGGGAAAAACTAGGAGTGGTTTGCCTCACTGGAAGAAGGGTACATATCATGCATAAAAAGTAGCTATGTAATTTATTATTTTCATCTATCACCACAATGAGCCAAGGAATAAAAGGCTTGACATCGGTACAACAGAAAACTGGATTTTAAAATCTGGAAGTAGTATCTGTAAGTGCACTGGAACAGATTTCTGAGGGTAGGTGTGGAATTTTCATAACTGGAAATTTGTAAGAAAAGACTGCATAAGCATCTGCCAGAATAATGCATACGGTTGAGAAGGCCACTAGGCAGCAAGAGACAAAATAAGCTTCAAGGTCCCACCTGATCTCATTTTATTATAGAATCATAGAATGGTTTGGGTTGGAAAGGATCTTTAAGATCACCTAGTTCCAGCCCCCTGCTATAGGCAGGGACACCTCCTCTAGACCAGGTTGCTCAATGCCCCATCCAGCCTGGCCTTAAATGCTACCAGGGAGGGGGTATCCACAACCTCGCTGGACAACCTGTTCCAAAGTCTCATCAGCCTTACAGTAAAGAATTTCTTCCTAATATATAGTCTGAATCTACCCTCTTCCAGTTTAAAGCCATTTTCTACAGTTTCTGTTATACGCAGCAATACATCAATGCACTTTGGTGCTGAGACTATAATTACAGAGGCAACATCCATTCTCTCATTTCTTATTGAAGAATTCCTACAGAAACTGCCTGTGCCAGTCATCACAATGACTGACATTCCTCACAGCCCTACACCAGCAGCAGAATACAAAAATTCAAAAATAAATGAATCGATTGCAGATTATTTCTTTTTTATTACTCTAACAATCACAAATTTATGTTCTGCAGCTTCTATTCCCCTCTGTCTTCTTTCATTTTCCTGTCATCTTTTGCTATACCAAATTTCTTCTTTCTTTTCTACACTTACTGATAAGCTGTGTCTTGGTCTAGTTCTTCCTAATCATCCCCAACATCCCCTTAATGTTCTTGTTGATGGTAATAGGTCAAAGGGGTATCATCTTAAAAAACTAAAGGAGGGTAGATATAGATTAGATGTCAGGGGGAAATTTTTCACAGAGGTGGTGGTGAGGTGCTGGCACAGGCTGCTCAGATCAGTTGTGGGTGTCCTGTCTTTGGAGGTGTTCATGGCCAGGTTGGATGGTGCCCTGTGAAACCTGATCTAGTGGTTGGTAACCTTGTTGTAGCAGAGGTGTTGGAACTCGATCTTCAAGGTCCCTTCGAACCCAAGACATTCTACGATTCATTTCAGTACCTGAACTTACAGAAAGTTTCTTTCATTGCAGAGAAGAAACTGCATCAGAGGAAATCCTGCTGAGGTCTGAAGATCTAAAATGGATTATGCAATTCACTTCATTCATGTTCTGTAAATCTCCATCTGAAGCAAATCTGTCTTTTGCTCTTAAGTAGTTATCCAAATAAGTAGCATATCAAGCAAATATTTTTGCAACTTTGATGTTGATTTTATTCAAATATTACAATGGAACTATAATTTCATAATCCTT